CCTAGAACAGTTGCTATGTTGGAAAGTTACAAAAGCCAGAGATACCAGCGGTGATATTTTTCACCGGATCAACTCCAAGTCGTAATCCTGAAATTTCCATTGGAAAAAAAATAAGTTGATTTTACTTTTTGTGAGGTTATTTAGCAAATACCTACATCAAGGAGTTTTACTAACTGTCCCAGCAGAAAGAATGTTGTCACGCTGAGTGCCATACATGGAACACCTGAATCGGTTGCCGAGTTGGTGTAATGGGAGTTTCAACATCACGTTTAAGTTTATGAACACATTTCTGGACATTGAGAACGTGTGGCCATAAGCATGTGGGAGACATAGGCATGTGGGGTTGAGCATGACGGTGACAAAAGGAGACACAATTCATGTTTTGGGCAATGGGAAGCTATTTAAAATTAGCACCATCATGCCCTGGGCAGGGTAGCTAAGTTGTTAGAGCATTATTTTTTTTTAAATATATTTTATTGATTTTTTTACAGAGGGGAAGGGAGAAGGAGAGGAATAGAGAGTTAGAAACATCAATGAGAGAGAGACATCAATTCAGCTGCCTTCTACACACCCCCTACTTGAGATGTGCCCGCAACCAAGGTACATGCCCTTGACCGGAATCGAACCTGGGACCTTTCAGTCCGCAGGCCGACGCTCTATCCACTAAGCCAAACTGGTCAGGGCTAGAGAATTATTTTGATATTCCAAGGTTGCCGATTCAATCCCCGGCCATGGTGCATAAAAGAATCAACCGATGAATGTATAAATATGTGGGACAACAAACCAATGTGTGGCTCTCTCTCAAACCAATAAATTAAAAATTAAAAAATATAAAATTAGCACCATCGCAAGGTGTTTTAAATTTGATTATACTGGTGAGAAGAGTATAGAGGGAGTTCCTATCTACCTTTTAAAAATCAAAGTTGAAAATGCATAAATATGCTTCTTAATTGAACATTTTAGCAAATTTGGGATGGGGTATTCAGGGGTCAAATTTTTTTATTTCTCAAATCTGAGAGGAAAAACAGCCTGATCACACAGAGTGTTTTCTGCTCTGTGTTGGCTGGTATGTAATACCAAACAACATATGTATGTATGTATGTGTATGTATGTATACATATGGAAGTTCTCTCACCCACAGAAGACACAGCCTGAGACTCCTAGGGCTTCGGGTAATATGGGAACCAAAGCAAATGATTTAGGGAGAAGCAGAAGGACATTTTCAGGCAGTTTTAAAATTTCTATTTTAGGAGCTTATCAATATCTTGCAATATTTATGCAAGTGGATCGATTTGCCTTTTGAATAGGAATTTCAAAAAAAGTGAACACGTCCCAACCCAATGGAGAACAAAGAGGAGAGCAAAGGGCACTTGTGTGTTTTTCCTCTCCTGCCTTTACAGCCACCAAGTAGCAGAAAAATGTTCCAGAAATTCAGTCTTGGGTTTTCTGATGAGTTACTGCTACCTGTGAGGTTGAGACTAGAGCTG